GTGTGTGTGTGTGTGTGTGTGTGTGTGTGTGTTTTCTGGTGAACAGCTGGATTGTAACAGCAGAGTGTGTTCCATCCACTGCTCTGCCATCAGATTGACAAGGTGATAAGACAAACACATCTCTGTGGAAAGAAGTCATTATCTTTCTACCCAGTAAAAAACTAATATCCAAATATTTAAGGGAGGGTAAAGAGGCAGGATGTGGGAAGAACCATTTCAACACCCCATTCCATTACTGTCTGTCATACATATAGCAAAAAAGCAATCAGCAATAAACGTTCATAATTTTAATTACAAAATCCATTCAATGCAAAAACCTACTCTAGAGTTCAGCAAAAACAAATAGAGTATGAGGCTTCATCCGTATGAATTTGTGAAAAAGGTGGGATCTCCCAAAATCGAGCACATACCAAGGCCCCACATCCACTTATGAAGCAACATTTAAATTCAATGTATCCATCCAATATGTATGTGTCCCTTTCACAGCAGGCCTTGCTGTTCCTGATCAACTCACTTTAAGACTAGAGATTCATCATTATAACACTTTGCACTTAATGATATGAGATATATAAACCTAATGCCATGGGCACGCTCAACTAGACCGTTAAAGGTTCAGTGTGTAGAATTTTGTGATATCAAGTGTTGAAGTTGCATGTTGCAGCTGAACACCCCTCACCTCACCCTCTCCTGTGGTAGCTTCAGTTGTCATAAAAACTCAAAAGGTCTTAATTTGTCCAGTCTGGACTAATGTAAAAGTACTGACCCCTCGATGTAAATATAAAGTATTTGAATATAAAGGGTATTTTCTGGTTTAAAGAAAACTACATTTCATACAATTTATATGAAACAAACTATTGAAAACATCATGAGGATTATTCTACATTAAATTTCTGCCAATAGTTCCCTTTCACCTAACTCTTATAGACACTGGACCTTTAAACATAACATTGGCTTATTATTGAACTGAAATTTTAAAAAAAATGTATTGAGCCATGTTACCTCCAAAGATCTAAGATGCTAAGATAAGATAAGATTCAGATAATGATCCAAGTATTATGACTCAATTATGGTCATGCAAATAAATATATTATTATACAGTAAACAAAATAACTTATCTAACAATAATAGAATACTTTAATGGTATATACATAAACTGTACTGTATCATGCAATGCAATATAATATAATACATGTATTGTGCATACTTCAGTCAGTCCAGAGCACAGAGAGTGGGGGTAATAGCACATGTGGGGGTGCAGTCTTTGCATCCTGTGTATGTGGTGAACGATAAATAACAGGTGATTCATGTGTTGGACCTGGGCAGGTGGTCCTCTGTGGTCCCACCGCAGGTTTTCCCTCCAGCCTGGCTCTGTGCGCTGTGCGAGGCTGACACGGAGCAGGAATGCGCGCTCCCTGGTGGACGGATTAGATTCCTTTTGATTGCCTGCAGCCCGTGCCCGCGCACAGGTCACAGATCCTCCCTCACCCCCAGGCTGCCTGCTCGGCCTCAGAACAGCAGCTTCATCCAACAGGTGCCTGCTTCTCTCAGGATTTACAGTAAGTCCCAGTGGGAAACAAAAAGGTCAGGTCTATCTTCAGGGGAGGAAAAAAAAAGACATCATGTAGTTTACATGTGATCCATTCAATTCATCCTCTGTGTGCTTAAATTACACAAGTACAGGTGCAGTCTTTCAGCTCGCTCTCTTTAACACAGTGTCGGATTCATACAGGTGTCTGTGCCTCGGCCGCTGCTGTGCTGGGACGACTGATCTGCAGGACAAAGGCTGCTGTAAATCTGTCATATTACACACATTCCCTGAGCTGCAGGAGGACAGCCTCTCTTTGTTAGGAGCCAAACAAGCCAGGGCCAGAAGCCTGCAGAGAGCAGCAGGGGAATCACTGGAAGTATAGACGCAGATCAAATCAACCAGAAATAAAACCTGGTTGATCAGGGTTCATGGTCAAAACATTAGTCATTTTTTTATTTTTCCCTGCACGCCCCCACACTGTGTTTTCAGTAGCTCTAGACCAGAGTGATGTTGGGAAATAATGAGAACTCAACAACCTGCACAGGATAAACAGTGTTGTCAATGCAGCGCAACATTCGTAATGTTTGTATTAATTTGAATTGCATAGCATTATATATCAGTTTTAGAACGTTTTACACTGTTGCAGTCCACAAATAGGGTTTTAGGGCAATTTAATCCAACCCATCTTGACCACGACTTTCTGGCACAAGATTATGTCTCAATAAAATACAATTAAATAATCCAGAATTCTTTTTTGAGACATCTAACTGATATTACCACTACTAAAATCTATGATCCTCTTGCATGATCTAGATAGGCTGCACAGAAAATACACAGAATTTTCGAAAATAAATCAAATATTATTTAAACTATGAATTTGTTTTGCCATGCAGTTACAACCATTTGTCACTGGGGAGTGCTGCACCCCCGTACTTCCAGCATCTTTGCACACATGATAAGCTCATAAAATACAGTCGATTCATTAAGCCACTGCTTCAAAAAGGTTTTCAAACCACTTTCCACAAAAAGCAGCGTCTTTAGGCCCCTCGTCGTCTGCGGGCGGCCATCAGATGGTTTTTGAAACAACTTGATGCACAAATCAAAGTCCCCAAAACACAAAACTTGTGCATTAGAACTTGGGGTTTCTGTTTTTCCTCTCCTGTAAACCACCTCCGGACCTTTCAACCTTTAAAACAAGCTCCATCTCAACACACAACAGAAGAATCTTTCTTATTAATTAATACATCTGTATGGAATATCAAATAACCCAATGTGTAAATATAATACTGTCAAAGGCTGCTATATTTTTACCGAGTGATTGTGTTACTTCAAGTCCATTTTCAGGACCTTAAATGTTTAACATGTAGTGGACTTCTGCAGAAACAAGCCATGAACACAACAGTCACATTATAACTTGTTGCTAATCCACCAGCAATGATTGAGTTTGTCATGGCTTCTCAGGTAGGAGGCGGCATCAAACACTCAGTCAGTACAGTGAGACTCTGGATAAGAAAGACAAACAATTTATTTTATCACTGGTCGTTATCATTTTTCTTCTTCCTTCCGTACTGCCTTCCAAACTATTAAAAGATCATACTGTATAGCAAAGCACAATGACTCTGTTGTTTCAGTGCTAATGGTCATCTCCAGAGGTGGAATAAGAATTCTCATTTATTTAATTTTGAGGTATTCATACTTCAATTGAGTATTTAGGAAATGTTGTAGCCTTTACTCCAAATTCTACAGCAGTGGTGTCAAACTCACAGAGAGGAACAAAATGACCAGAACTGACCAGTGGAGCCTGTGCACTCTGCCTGGCTCTCTGGCAAGAGCGAGATGCAGAGAGAAAGATGGAAGGAAAAAGAGCAAGCGATAAGCCTTAGAGACACAGTGAACTTGACGGGGCAGGCACTGGGATCTCTGGAATGCTGGAAAAATAATTTAATATCATCAAATACTCGGCGAGTGAGTGGAGAGGAGCAATAGCTCGCCGGGCATTGCTCACCATGACTCAACATATGGAGCTGTAGTTTAGATTTACTTTACTACACAAAACTACAGAAGTATATTGCTGCCGCGCAAGAAAAAGAAAAACAGGTCAGTATCAGGTAACAACCTTAAAGGTTTATTGTAGTAACAACATATATTCATGTAAAACAAGATATTTTTATGTTGTCATTAAAGGCAAACTTATAATGTTGTAACATTACATGTTTAATGGTATAACATGATACATTTGTAAATAATAACCATGTTAAAACCATGTTGTCATTACAATAAACGTCTTTGGACGTCACATCAACCTCAGAAATGACATTTTGAATTTGAGCTTAGCTTAGCACTAAGCTTGAACTGGAAAAGTACAGTTGAGGTTAAGAGCCGTGAGCATGACGTCAGTGGACCTGTGGCACGCCTAAGTCAATGAGTAGAGGTTATGGGAAATGTTTTGGAAGGATAAACAGGCCTCGTGTACAGAGCATGGGTTCCACATATTGCTGAAAACAAGGGCAGAACAGAGCAAACACCTAAATCAGCACAATCACCTACTCATGACACAGTGATGTCTATTCCCGCTGATTTCCTCACTTGATAACCTCACTTTTCACCCAATGCATTCCTCTTCACCAGTGACACAACTATAATGTCTCATGTTCAAAGGTTTTACAACTAAACCAAATCCCTCTCCCATGATCCCCCATCCAGGCCTAACTGGGTTTGTCGAAATTGGGAATGACAGTGTTTCCTCACGTAGGAGGCACTAAATCCCTCCACTGATGGCAAGATGAGGGGTAGGAGCACAAATCTGCACACACACAAAACCAGAGGAGGAAAAGAAACATTCTTATGGAATAAATATTTTCTAGTTCAGCCCTCAAATATTTTTTGCTGGAAGAAAAAGCACAGTGTGTTTTGTTGCTGCAATGCTTTTTATCGAGCTGAATTACAGAACTTTGATTTTAAAAAGTGTGAACTTGGGTCTGAAGATTATACCAGACCTCTGAAAAAAAAACCACATCATCCAAAACTTATATAGATAATGTACACACGTTAACAGTGTCAATAGAAATTAATTTCATCCATAGTATATTATAGAACCTGTACATTTTACTATTGATGTTACACTGGTCATAGACTTATCTAAGGTTTTGTGACAAAACTTAGCTCCCGAAACATAATTCTAATCAACTGAGAAATGAAAACACCTATGAGGATAGCAGAGATTTCAAATCCAAGTGAAATCTATTTTAATTGTCAAAAATAGACCAAAATATTTTTTCCCGCTTCGTAGGATTAAAACATTAAAGAAACCAAAGTCATTGATTGTTTTGCACAATTAAAGCTTTTCTATTTTTTAACTAAGGTGTATCATGCTTCACACAAAATTCACAAGTCATTTATTTCATTAGCTGTACAGAATGTCAATATACTTTTCCTGTAAAATAATATCTGTGTGTGTGTGTGTGTATTTCTGTCAAGTCTTGGTAATGTTTGGATTCAGTCCTGCTCCTTTTAATCCTGCTGTGCGTCTCTCAGTCAAGCTCTTGCTTCTTCTCAGTAATGCATTCATGTCAGCAGGAGCTTGCCTGAAGCCCGGTTGTTCCAGCGTCTTCTGTCCGGTCCGATGGGTAGCGCCAAGAGAGCTGGTTCGGGCCACTGGCCTGGGTCTTGGGGTGTGAATCTGGAATATCCAGTTTGGCCTGGGAGGGGGCTTCACCTGCTGGTAGGTGTGGGGCTGTAGATCCAGCTTGGCACCTGTACCTGGTGAGAGCAGATCTGGGTGCGTCTGGAGCCGAATTCCCGCAGTTATTGATGCCAACTTTGAACGTAGAGACTCAGCGGGTGGGTGTGAATGATTTGGGGGTTGGTGCTGACTCTGGTGCTGATATTGCCTCATTGTTCCCACAGAGCAGAATTTGGTTTGGTGTCCGGATGAGTGTCCTCTTGAAAGATTCAAAAGGAACTGAGGGCCTGTCTTTGCTTGTTTTTGCTGTGATGTAGGAGGAGACTGTAGTTTGGGATTATCAGATTTAAGTTCCACCGTTGGTTTGGGGTTGAGTGACAAGTTCCATTGTGCTGTTTGTGTGCTGAGACCTGCAGTTGTCCCTGAAGGCCTCGTCAGTCTGTTTCTATTCCTCTGCTGAGAGAAAAGTCCTCCGGTAACAGGGCTGTCACGATCAAGATTTGAATTCTTCATCAATGTGGATTGATAAGTGTTGGTCATCTGCTGTCTGTGTGTGGGGTTTCCAGCGTGAAGAGGGTTTGACTGTTGAACGTTTGCATTCCTTCCGGCTGTGGTGGTGGTGTTAAGGCCAGCACACTGAGACTGAACGTATGTGACCTGGGTCTGACCGATTTCAGAATGACTCTGGATCTGGTTTTGATTCTTGTCCAGAGGTTTCTCATGTGTTTTTGTACAAGGATTTTCCAAGGGTTCTGGATACAGCGATGGAGGTGTCGTGTGTGTTTGTGTACCTGTAACTGCCCCTTGTAAATGCTGGGTGTCACCTCTGTTGCACTCCAATTCTGGGCTCTTTGGGTTTGATGAAAGTGCAGTCATCTTGGTCTTCGGAGCATCTCTGGTCAGAGCCCAGTGGCTCACTGTGTTGGCCTGGTGGGACTTGGATATGTTATTATCAGTGTTATCATTCTGGGCTGCAGGTGATGAGATGAAAAGAAGGAGAGAGTGAGGCACAGTGATAAATGTGACAAATCCCGGCACTGTTTTGGAGCTGGAGTTGAGTCTGTGGAATTCCTGATGGAAAGGTATGACTTCGCTGCCCTTTACAAGAACAGCAAGACTACGATGGACCTGCCATGACAGCCAGGAGAAACTGACAAAGACACACACAGCGGATCAGGGTTTGCCTCATGATACAAAGTAAATCCTCTTTAAGTCATCTTTCTTGCAGGTCTGTGTGTGTGTGTGTACCTGTATGAGCCAGTTAGCGCCTGAGTCCAGTCAGTGATGATAAAACTCTCAGCGACCTGACCTGTCAGCTTCCTGCCTGTCTTGGCACAGTAGGTCTGTCCATCGATGCTGCGTACTGACAGTTTCTAGACAAACACAAGACGGTGCTGCAGTCACTGTGGCCAGATAAGATGATGTGACAGTTGGGTTTAGAGCAGTTACATTATGTAAGTGCTGTTGTGTAAAATGAGTAGTTAGACATTGAGAAATCATTTTCAAGCAACATTTTTATTTTCATCCAATAAATCATCACATTAATAAATTATTAATGTGATGTAAGGTTAAAGCTGTGTATTAGAATCTGATGTGGAACTAGTAAAAGGGTTCATAAATTACTAAGATGTTATAATGACATATGCATTGTTTTGTCCTGCAGCCAAGTTCATTGTGAGAATGCAAGGTCAACAATGTGCCATGAAACTCTCCTATTTTAATTAATTTAACTAAGGTTCACATCTGAAGTCCAAGTTGACAGTTATTGGACTTTTGAGACCACTCCAAAGAACTTTCCCAGCAACTTTTCAGGAGCATTAAACCTGTTCATGACAATTTTTTCATCTATAAAATTCCTTTTCTTTCATGACGGAGCTAGTCATTTTGTGTTCACTTTTATTTTCATGCCATGTGCTTGTGGTGTACAGAAATAATGTGTAATATACATTATATATAGTGGTATATGCAGTAATGTGTGAGGATTGTCAAAAAATCCTCAACAACAGTGACAGCTAAAGCTAAAAGCTAAAAATATTGCATTTATTCTAAAATTGTTTTGTTATTTTTGTTTGTGATCAGCCCACATGAAGGTCCAGCAGAATTTCATTGGTTATTTTTGATACATGTGTCAATGGCAGAAGTGTAATTCCAGAAAAAGTCCCCAGCTTCAAAGTATGAGCTGTTTGGTCAGTACACCTGCACCATGCTGACAAGGTCAACTAGTGTAAAAACCTATGCTTGTCATTTTCTGGTGTTCTGGTTGTCAAGGTTACAAGACCAAGATGACCAAATGACACTAATGAACCTTTGTAGACTGATGGTAGTTCACCACAAGTTTAGCCCTATATCTAAACCTAGGCATAGTTTCTTTTCTTTATGCTGTTTGGTATAAGCTTAACTGTAACAGCAACTAAATAAATGTGGAGTGATGCAGACATAAAGCTGGCAGAGAGAGGAAAACTCACGGGGAAGTTTTTGCTGTTGAGTTTGAGGTCCTGCCACATGGTGACAAACAGGTTCAGGTTCAGATGATCCAACAGCAGGTGAACAGACACATTCCTCTTCCTGCTGGCCTCCAGGAGATCACAGAGCAGCTCCACGTCAGTGAAGCTGTCCATCACTATGGCCAGGGCCTACACACACACACACACACACACAAACACACACACACACACACACACACAAACACGTAGGGGCATGCATGTCATGTTCCTTTTTACACATGCAAATAGAATCACACAAAAGACACAAAGAAAATAGCTCAAAGATATAAGTGCACACACACACAGACTTACGTGTGCAGCCTTCCTGATGAACTCTCTGACCAGGTCTTTCAAACCAGCTCCTCCTCTACCATCAGACTGGAAATAAACCTCAACACTGGGCTTGTCCCGGACACGATCTAAAAGCATCATAAATCATGATCAGAAATGGCCGCAAACAAGAACCAAAAGGATTTTGTAGTGACTCAAAAATGTGTTTGGAGCATTTTAAAACTTCAGATATGAAGGTTTACACAGGAGTAATAAAATACGTTTCTGCTCTTTTGAATACCTCTGATGCTGCTTTGTCCTAAACCTGCCTCCGTAGGAATTCGTCCTGTGGTCACTGCAGGGCACAGTGTGGCAGTCTTGGAGCCAGTTGACAAGCCCTCTAACACCTTTTCATCATCGCTATCAGAATCACCAGGACTAGCTGTGTGGAGCACAAAAACAATACAGCTATTATGAAGCATTCATTTTTGATCACAACAGCTGGAAAAACAAGAAGAAAACTGGAAAACTGTTCATAAAAAATGTAGGAAAGTCTACAACCTGCATTGCCCTCTTTTCCATTTCTCAGGATGTAATTCTTCTCCAGCTCTGACAGAAAGTCAGCTTCTCCCTCTGCGTTCAACGCCTCCTGGTATCCCTGTAAGCCCCGGCTGAGCAGGCTGTCCACCGCCAGCCGGACGCTCTCATTGTGACTCAGGTCCAGCACAGGTCTGATGGCAATAAAGTCTCTGTAACAGGTGGAAGGGTTGCGGAGATCTTGAACCCTTCGTCTCACCTTCCCCTGAGGCTTTGACCTCCTGTACCACAACACGGACACACTGCTGGTATCCATGGTGGTACGCTGGGCTCAAGTTCAACAACGAGAATAAACAGATGTCGCGGCTGTGCATGATCTTCACAGCCTTTAGAAGCCTTCTGTGTTTTCTAAAAAAGAACTGGTGCAGAAAGACAAGAGAGGTTAAAGAAAAGATGACACGCCCCAACTTAGGGCGTGATGATTTGACATTTGAAGTGATGAGAAGTGACAGTTTAGTCCTAAAGGCATAAATCGTGCATATTTGTATTTATGCTGATTAGGCCTTTCCAGAAGAATACACAGGGAGGGATGCAAAATAAAAGTAGTTATTCATCTGTAAGGACATGGCATCACGTGTCAAAGAGGATAGATAATTCAATTAAATTTAGTTTGAAGACATACAATACAAAAAAAAAGCACATACACATAATCATTTTGTATTATAACAGCCTGTATATGCATATGTATGGTGTGATTCAATGTCTTCTTGCACTAATGCACAAATACAGTTTACATCCTTGTATAATCATCCTGTGATTACTGCATTTCGTTGCTTTGTACTTGTACTTGTGCAATGACAATAAAGTTGAAGCTAATCGAATCTAATCTGTGCCACTGCCCTTGACTCAAGTACATTTCTCTAGAAACAATATTTCCATCTGTAGTGAAAGGTGTATATTACGTAGATTGTACATTTTCATACTCCTGTCTACTTCATTCTGACTGTCTGCTGCTGTAACAGGTGAATTTCCCCAGCGTGGGATGATACCTGTACGTTTTTATCTTATCTTATATATTTTTTCTGGTAGATTAACCACGTCAAGCATGGTACAAAACAATTATCACCTCAATTTGGGAGTTTCCTTTTCCATGTCGTGACACAATTGAGCCGGCGCAGATGAGCACAGATAAAAGATGGGTGAAGCGATGGAGCAGAATGAGTGACAGGAATGAGGATGGTTGTCTCTTCAGCTCACGTCAAACACCTGGATGGAAGGCAGAAGAAGGCAAACACGGAGTTACAGGCACACCCAGACAGAGCAGCGAGGAACAGGAACACACAGGTCTGTTTTGCAGTCAGTACATTTCTGGTCCAATCTGTCTTTTACCTTCTTTCCTTTCATTAAAAAAGAAAAACAGAAACGTCAAATTAAAACTGAACTCCTCTGATATAAAAAGCCTATATGTTCTATGTAGGAAACAGCCCATTATCTCCTGCATACACGTGTAAATTACCATTTTCATTAATTAAAAAAAAAAATTCAATTAACTGCGCTCCTATCCAACTCCTGCATACAACCTCCACTCTGATCACCACCTCCTCGTCAGAACATCACCTAACCTTGTGTGTTACGGTGCTTCAGACAATTCTCTGTTGTTGAGGAGCAGGTAGTGATGATGACACAGGATCCACATCCGATAAAATAGAAAATACATGAAATAAAATATGCAATGGCACATAAGAAAACACTGATACAAACATATGTTTATGTAGTAACGTCGAACTTAGAGATAACAACAATGCCTCCACAGATGGGATTGGTAGTGTGCAGTGCTAAATCAATTAAAAATCTAATTGAGCCAGGTATTTAATTTATATATGAGATTCATCCCAGTCTCTTGATTAGTAACCTCATTTCATAGTAATAAGCAAGAGTCCTAAGATTTTCTTTTTTGTAGTTTGACCACTAGCAGGCAGTATAGAGTGGTGTGAAGTGTATACTCGATCCTAAATCAAAAACATGCTGCTGCAATGACAGGACTCAAAATTTAAAAAGATTCCGCGGGAAAAGTCAGAACTGGCAACCCTGCACCTGAAACCGGAACCGCCGACGTGCCCCGCCCCCTCCTGCCGTGGTTGCCTTGTTTACGGTTTCTATGGTAACACTGCTGCGCGTCAGTGTCACAGATAAACCGAGAGAACTAACTGCACGTGAACGGCGTGACGGAGGAGACAGTGCAGGTGAGCACGGGTTGATCTTCGCGAGGAAAGCGCCAGATCTGTTGTCTTGGAAGTTAGCCTAGCATTAGCTTCCAACTTCTGTAACTCAGCCTCAAACTCTCTTCTTCTCAGTGTCTTTCGGCCAAAGATGGCTGCCTCTTCAGGAGTGTTCAAAACCGTAAAGACGAAGGACATGCCGCAGTTTCCCGTCCTGCCCCCTATTAAAGGCCCCCATCAGCGGGGAGGAGAGATGGAGCAGCTGGAAGCAACTAAGGAGGAGATATCCAAGAGGCTGTCTGTTTATAAGAAGCTGCTGAGACACAGGAGGAGCAAACAACAGCTACGCCACAAGATGCTGTGAGTTATTTCCCCCTCACTCCACTGATGTCTGGACAGGTCATCACTGTGTTGGCTTGTGTAACACTTTTCATTTCAGGTTCTCCAGAGCAATGGAAACTTACAGACAGAGCAAAGAGAGGAGAGCAGTGCGCAATCAGTCACCAGAGCCACAGTTTCCCTCTTCTGTATGTATCCAACTACACATCATTCAAATATGAATTCATATATAAATAATGTGTAATGACATAATGTGGGCTGAACATTTGCTTTCCAGATGCTTAGTGAGGAGCGGAAATGCAAGGTGAGTTTTCTTCAAAGTTTTAAATTTGACCTGTCTAGAGACTACTTATGTCACCCCGCTCTCTTTGTTTTATTTTGGCAGATGAACTATGAGTTCCTGAAGCGATGTGTGGAGAGACGCCCATTCGCTCCCATCCAGCAGCAGTGGTTGGACTCCATTGTCTCCCGAGTCCCGCAGAAACTGAAGGAGAGTCCTGAGACAAATAAGCTGCTGCAGGAGCTCTGCACAGAAGTCAGCGACGAATTCCGCCATGTTATTGTCAAGCACACGGGTAATGCAAGTTGTTTGTGTGTGGTTTATGTGTGTGGAGGACATGCAGACGACAGCTGAATTATTATGTCATATTCACTCCCTTTAGTGGACTCTGTGCTGAGGAATCCAGATAAAGAGAAGCTGATCTCAGAAAAACAGACAGCTACCCAAATAAAGTGAGTGTCTATACAGAAATTATTCATACACAAAATAGTGGTTGATCCATTTTCACATCCTTTTCTAAAATACATTTACAATCTTTTGCAGCGTTCTTGATTTCTCCCGGCCTTGGCATGACAGTTTTGTCAGAACCCGCAGGATGATAAAAAGAAATTTGCACATTCTTCATCCGGTCATGCAAACTGTTTTGGATATTGGCTACACAACATTTTCTACCCTGGTCCTGGCTGATCTTTCAGGATGGAGGTGAGAAAACAACATGAATGTGGTGACGTTCTGCTAAAATTAGCACATATTAAAGGTCCAGTGTGTAAGATTTAGGTGAAAGGGAACTATTGGCAGAAATCTAATGTATAATAATCCTCCTGATGTTTTCACTAGTTCATTTCATCTAAACTGTATGAATTGTAGTTTTCTCTACCCCAGAAAAGACCCTTTATGTTTAAATACTTTATATTTACATTGAGGGGACCCTCTCTACAGAGGCAACCATGTTTTTATGACAACTGAAGCTACCACAGCTTCTTTGTCATGTTTGGAAGGAGAGGGTGAGGTGAGGGGTGTTCAGCTGCAACATGCAACTTCAACACTAGATATCACTAAATTCTACACACTGAACCTTTGAGATGTTGCAAAGTACTTTCTTCTTCTGCTGGCTCAGGGCTTCAGGACCCGTGGACTGTAAGAACCTACAGAACAAAATGGCTGTGGAGTGTAAGAGGACAGAAGATCGTATCATGAATACCTGGTTTCCCAAAGTTATCCACTTACTAACCAGTGAAGAAACTCTGAAAGCACTTAAAGAGGAGAGACTGGACTGCTTCTATGACTGTGCATCCACACTGATCTCCAATCAGGTAACACTGATATTAGGCTTGATTATGACTCGAGACGTGTCCGATAAAAATGATTTAAAGTAAGGGTTATCAACAATCTTAGATACTGTGTGATCAATTTCTTTTATATTGGGCATTTTCATTGTTTTCTCAGGGAATAATCAATGGATCTTGAAAACAAATCAGTTATATTGAACTGATTTTGCTCGATTAAGAGTTGTAATAACAGAACATAATGCAAATCATGCAAGTACACAGCCTGCTGTATTGAGGTCAGATGTCCACAGTTAGTTCTTTGTACAAATTGCAGAAAAGCATCATTATTAAATGTATCTGTTTCTTTCTCTATTGAAAGTGTGTTTACAGTGGTGCTCTTTGTATTTATATTTCCTGATCACACTTTTTTCTCTTGTTTGTTCCCAGTTGAAATCCATGCTTCAGACAAGTGTAGAGAAGTTTGTCAATCTGTTTGAGCCGAGCAATCACCACTGCTTGCCCCTCTTCCGTTTGTCTTTGACATTTGATGATGAGAAGATGGAAATATACCCCACCTTACAAGATCTGGAAGCTGCTGTTTTTGAGATTCTTAACACCATCACAAATACACTGCAGGTGAAGATGACCACTTTAAATGACCACTTTATGGCACATTTTTCGTATAGAATTGTATTTTGAGCCAGTATTGATATCTATGAAACCTATCCACAGAGAGTACAGACGGTCCAGTCATGGTTGACACAAGCCACGTCTTCGTTTGTTGACGCTAAGGTGGCTGATCGCGTCCTTTCTTGGGCTCAGGACGCCTTAAAGGCAGCTGTGTGCAGGAATCTGGAGGAACCAAACAATCATTTCCAGAGTTATGGTGATGATCCATGATGCAGTCATATCCTATCGTCACACCCCAGGCCTTAAGACACTTCATTGCTGACTTCTGCTTTACTTTGCAGTTGACAAGTATGACTGGCTAATCGATGGAACTGCACAGACGCGGGTGGAGATGTTCATGGCAGAGGAGCACTCTTTTGATGAGTACGCTAAGGTAACAAAATACAAACATTGAATTCTTGGAGGACATGACACCTTTTTACCTCAACCTACCTTGCTGCATGTTTCACAGTTGAATCCCACATAGGTAACAGATACAAAGCATGTACTGTGCCTATGTATGACTTCATCATTCCTCAAGAGCAAATAAGCAATATATATTGGGTCTTTTGACAAGTGGAAAATACCTTAACCCAGGAAAG